GGGGGGGGTTGGTTTTTTTTAAGGCAAACCGGAGGAAACACCCTCTGAGTAGTACCTTTCATCTGAGATTACAAGTCTTTGGGGGAAGAAAAGTTATTTTGCCCTGTGCAGTGGCTGCATCATGTGACCTTGCTTGTTAGGGTTCTCACTTCCAGAGAAGTAGGTTGGACTCACGAATGAATTTAATATGGATCACAAAGCAGTCCCAGATCGTCTCCTGACGATGTCAGATCTCTCCTAGATGCTTCATCCCTTTAAAATGAAGTTGTCTCGCTCCCATGGCTACTCAGCACCTTTAGCAAGTTAGGAGCATCAAATTATATACTTCACTGAATGCGCTGATTTTCACCAAATTTGGTGGAGTGTTTAAGACTGATTCACTGGGTTTTGCCTAGACAGGAATAGGAAGTTTTCACATGGTCGAACAGTAAAGTGGATGAGGCTTACTATCATCCCGTCATAAGAGGCTTACAAGCTGTGGTGGTCAAGTCGTGCTGTTAGCTTTTTGTGGGTTGACAGCTCAGTGAGCCCACAGGGTTACGGACTACAGTCTACATGGAACAAAGGTCAGGATCTAATGCCTGATGTGCTGTGGCAGGGCAGGTACGAAGAAGGCTGGGAGCACTAGGTGAATTGCATAAATACCCAGTGAGGTCTCATGCATAGAATATTGGTGCAAAGAAGGCACACTCGGCTTTCTTTTGTCTTGTTCCCTTAAATATAATGCTTTGATTCTTTTATGCACAACGAGGGGGGAGGGGGGGGGAAGGAGGATGAAATTTAACAATTGAATTTCTGTGGCTTGCAGGGTTTGTGCGGCACATTTACCGTACAACAATCACATTTGTATTGGTTTATGGGGAAGAAACCTCCTCTGTAACAGTGCTTTGGAGTTCTCTTGCTGGAAGGTTATGTTTACTGTGGAACCTCTGCCTCTCTTTCCTGTTTGTTTGGTCTAGGACTGGGAATACCTCTTGAGCTCTGATTACCACAGGAATTTTGAGTCTCATCCTGTTGCCAAAGCTTTGCGACTGGACCCTCTGGAAGTTTCAGCTCCAAAGGATGACTTTTCACAGAGCCTTAGTTTGGATTCCTCGACGCTCCTTTTCACCCATATTCCTGCTATTTTCTTTGTTCTTCATCTCATCTACGAGGAGCTCAAACTGAATAGTCTGATGGGAGAAGGAATTCGTTCGCTTGTTGTTCTTCTGATTCAGCTGGCCAGGTATGCCCAACTGACAAATGCAGATATTGTATATCATGCAGCGTCTCTTGATGATGGGTGTGTATTGTTTTTATGGGGAATTTGGGGATTGCCCAGTGGAGCAGACTTTTCATGTATTTGAAGAAAACAAATGAATGTTTAAAACCGTATTGCGCTTAAAGATATTTGCTGTAGCAAATCTCTTACATGGTTCTGGCCACTTCCCAACATCAGTGAGATTCACAAATCTTAGATGCTGCAGCTAGTGTTTTTTCTACTGTATTGTCACAGCTCAGCTCATAAGATCTGTCAAATATTCTTGTTTGTTGTGGCATCTTCACCCGCAGCCAGTGCCTGCACCTTCATGTCTTCCACAACCACCTTCAAGTTTCATTGCATGCATATAGATAGATAGATACAGGTAGGTGTTTAAGTAAAAGGCCCAGTAATGTCTCCCTGAGTTGTATTTGCTATTTCTACCAAACTTTTTCTATGGCTATAGATTCTTCCCCAGTAGCACCTACTATAGCTGGCTGGCTAAATGGTTCCCAGAAGCGGCATCCAGTCCCTAGTGCTGAAAAGGTTGGCTTGTCCTCTATTCTATCATGCCAACAAGAAGCAAGTCTGAAACGAAGGACTGTGTGTCTTTTGAGGCTGGCAGCTGTTGTATGCATTCATGTCTTGCAGTAACCCAGTAGATTATCTAGCTTTAACAACTGGAATTTGGAGGAAACTAGTGACAGTGGTCACACCTTAGGCAGTGGTGGAGGCGTGGGACAAAGCAGAATGACAGCTGAAGAGAAATGTGCTGGGGGAAAATTAAACATACGGATTCACTGCTTAGGGAGTGGGCAGTGCCCATGAGAGGTCTTAGTTCAGGAAGTCAGAACTTCCCTCCTTGTATCTACTGCTTACACAAACATTAAAAAAACTCAACAGAAAATGTCACAGAAATGCAGGAAAGCGGAGTGGTATTTTTCCCCTCTAATGTGATTCACCTCTCTCATTCTAGGGACTTAAAACTTGAAGCTTATATAGATTATTACTACAGAGACTATCCAGCCCTTGTAAAAACCTCCAGACAGACTTGCATAATTGATCAAGGTGAGTTTAAGGCTTTGCAAAGCTGAATATTCAGTGATAATGACGTGCAAACTATCTCTAATACTGAGCATGTTGGTAACTGTTCCCTTTAAAGCTGGTTAGGACTTAATCCCAATATGCAAAACTGTGCTCATAGTGCTGAGGTTGCCTTGTTCCTTTGTTTTTAATAGCCTCCTAAGACGACTGGGGTGAAATTAGCATAATATAGTCATGAGCTGGTGCCTCCTGGGACACTCCACAGAACAAGGCCTTGGGAGGGAATGATGGCTTCATCTTGGCAAACTCCCAGCTTAGGCTGGCTGAGAAATCTTAGCAGGCAATTGTGGAAAAGCCTGGTAGTGAGATGTGCCTCTCTTGTGGAAAGTATTGCTGGGCTGGCAGGCTTTCAGTTTATGGTTCATAAAAACTAAATCAGAGCTAAAACCACAAAACTTAAAATAAGGTCATATATTGTCTGTGCACCTGTGTAGTGTCCTACCAGCTGAAATTTAGTGGTCATGTAAGATAAGCTACTGTTTCTCCTGACAGAGAAAAAAATCTCATAGCATTGCTCAGGCTTTGCTACTCATGTTGGTGGACAGGGAAGGCAAAGAGGTTATAGTTAGGTTGTCCTCTCACTTAAGCAATTTAATGTTGTTGAATTACAAGACTGTTCCAGTGAGGTCTTTGAGAATTACTTGTTGTACTTACTCCTTTTCACCGTGGGCTGAGGTAGTTTTTGTTCTTGAAAGACAGGTGTCTCAAGTTGTCATTACTCTCTAGCTATAAACTTCCATCTAACAGAAGGGAGATGTGGTCTGTAACATTTTGGGGAAATACTGTATTTTTGTTGTTGAAAGATGTACTGTAGGGCTTGCTTTGGGAATAGTGGAGAACTTTTTGTGCATTTGCCATGGACTCAATGTCATTGCTGTTTATATGATTAAGTCCAAACAGGTTTCATGCACCATCCCTCATTTTTTTCTGCTGAGCCTCCGAGTATCTTTCAGTGGCTGAGTTCCTGTCTGAAGGGAGAAAGAGTGCAGCCTTATCCTTACTTACCAGGAATCTGTGAAAGGAGCAAACTGGTAGTACTGGTACGTACTTTGGCAAAAAGGATGTGTTTTATTCTGTCAGCACAGCAGCACTGTGGCCAGGGTTTGCCCCAGCTGCTTATTTCCTGCAAGTGAAGTGTCCCCAGTGGGAAGTTAAATAACAGAGGGTTTAACTGTACTGTGTGGAGCAACGGGGGCATACTGAAGCAGGGCAGTAGCCATACTGGAGGGGTATTGAGCCTGTGATAACTCACTTGGCTGTAGCTGTACTATTTAGAGACTTAAGCATCTCCAAGTGTTGCTGCTCATCTGTCTGCATGAAATTCTCATGAGTATCCCCTGCAATATAGTAAACTGTGTGGTGTCAGCCTCACCACAGCGGGGAATAATATGTGTTTAGCAGAGAAATCCCTGCGAGTCCCATCTTCTCTTTTATTACTTCAATACTACTGAAGTGTGTAGATGGGTTTTAGCAGGTGGGAGGAGGTATTTGAGGTTGGGAAGGAGAGCTCGTGAGTGCAGAGTGAGTAGCCTATGCTTCACTGCTTATGTTTTTTTTTGTGGTTTGCAGTAGTGGCATGTGCAAAGTAATAATGTAACTCAGTTAACTGTATTTTGTGAGTGAGAATTTCCCGGCTTTCTTCTTGGGCATGTATCAACATAAATATTTAGTTTCATGAGTAGTTATAAGCGCCGATGTTACCTCTTGTTCAGCCTTGCTCACTTATTCACAAAGCGTTTATGGAGAAAACCTGCCAATACAGGGTTTGGAGCAGAGGTGTTGAACCTGAGGTGGATGAAGAGAAAAACAGTGAGGAGAGACTCTGCTCTGACCCAAGTGTCCAAGATTAGTTGCGGAGTCTCCGATTTGAGCTGCCAGGAGTCAGCCTGTCCTCTGCTTCAGAGCGTGGAGGGTTGAAGCAGCAGTGCTGATGCTTTCGCTTAAAACTTGCCTCCGCATTCAAGCTCTGAAGAACTGTAGCCTTTCCCTCGGGCTATCACCTGTGTCTGTCCATCCAGCTCTGTCTTTTCTCCTACCTCTGCGTGACTTGCCTATGCGGAGGTCAGAGCTGGCATGTTGGCAGTGTATCTTATCAGAAGATCTTAATGAAAAACACAAAAGACTTTTACCTGTGATTTTTGCTTTTGCCCTGCCAGCTTGTCTCTCAGTATCAAAAAGTAAATAGGGTGACAGATCACTTTGATAGCTGAAGTGGACCCTGCTTTGCATGGGGAACAACTCTTCACTCGGAGCCTTCACAAAGTAGCCAATATTCAAGATGTGGAGAAAACTGAGTGAAAAATGGTGTCTGTAGAAGATGTATGTGTGTTTTGCAAGAGAAATTAAATGAAATGTGAGAAACATGGGAAATATACTAGGAACGTGTTTTTCTCTTTAGATGATCTTTCTCTTTTTACCTTTGAAACAATTATCAGGGAAAATTGAGTTAATTGTTTCAGGATTTATTTTTTCCAAACTTTAAGATAGAAATCTAAAGCATAAGAGTTTGTTCTTGCTTCAGTTGTTTCAATCTCCTTTTACTAACAATGTTTTTGTAATAAACCTGCCCACTGTTTAAGTTATTAGAAGTTATTTCTGCCTGTTTTGGTAGGCAGTACAGCAATAGCTGCACACTAAGTGACTTTGTATTATGGTGTCTCTTTCCTGTCCAGAGTGTGGCTCTGTATATACTTGGTGATGAGAGCGCTGTATCTAACGAAGCCTCCCATTATTTGTACAAGATTACATCAGGTAATGATGCTTTGATGCCATCATAGTATATCCTAGTGTCTTGTGCTTGTTATGTGCTGTCTTTTTGCTTGGAGAATGTGGAAGTAACGTGGTCTTGTCTTTCCTAGGACAACGAAAACAGCAAATAGAACAGGATGACTATCGGTATGGGGTTTTTTAGTATTATTTTAAACTCTTGAGGTTTTGACTCTGCTGAGTTTTGGACTAGCTTTTATTGGCTTCTCCTTTATTTCCCTTTATTTTACAGATGCAGTTTCAGACACAGCACATCTGTTTCCAGTCTGGCTGAAAAGTTAGTTATTTGGATGACTAATGTTGGTAAGAGCAGCTTTTATCGTTGTGCAAAGTGGTAAAATCATAACAGTCTTGTGCTTGCCTAATAGGAAATACACTTTATCTAGTTTTGATAAAACAGGTGGTTTTTTTTCTCATTAATTTTAAGGTTTCACCTTAAGAGATCTGGAGTCTCTCCCCTTTGGTGTAGCTCTTCCTATTAGAGATGCAATATATTATTGCCGAGAGCAGCCTGCCTCAGACTGGCCAGAAGCAGTTTGTCTCTTGATTGGGCGCCAGGATCTGTCCAAACAGGCGTGTGAAGGGAACCTGCAAAAGGGTAAATCTGTGAGTATGGGCATAAATGGATTTCACTATATTGGGTATTGGGCAGAGCACTCTGTTCAGAAACTTCCCCACCATCTGCTGATGCTCGGCATCAGAAGGTGCAGAATTCAAGATTGAGGGCAGTACAGGGTTTACACGCATACGAGGGTTTCAGTATAAAAACCAGCATCCGGCACAGGAAGAGTATGTGTATAGCTGTGGAAACTGTCAATATAAAACAGATTTTAAACTTAATTCAGGCATGGTCCTCAAAAGTTTTGCCTACAGAGCTATTTGATTGCCTCTGTAAGTCCTCCTCGTCTCCAAAATGGCTGCACCTTTGAGAGGTGTTAGAGAGGTTTTGGTACTCCATCCGGAGACTGCCATCAAAACAGCAGTGGCCCAGGGAGAAGGAAGTGGGTATTTGTCAGTCTGGCTCCTTCTTGGGTTGGCATAGCTGGCATCTCCCTCTCTGGAAGAACCGGATTGCTTTCTGAAAGACACTTTTTATATACTTTTTTTTTTTCCTCAAAAAGCATTTAGTTATTTGTGTCCTGAAGTAAAGTGGAAAAAAAAATGTGGTGTTTTTCTTTTAAACATTTTCTTCTGATTGTAAGATGCTAGTGATTCCCACAGAGTTGTAGCTCACTTACGTGTCTTTTGTTGAGGATACTCTGGAAGCCAAAACTCTTCTTGAAAGCTGGCTAGTGGCATGCATAAAAACACTAAATAGTAGCAGAGAGATTGTCTGTAGCCTTTTCAGAAGTCAGGAAGAGGGACTCAGTCTCAAGTACATCTTGGTCAAGATCCTTTTTGCTGTCTTAGCTTTGAAAGTGATATTAAAATTAGTCTGACTTTTTATAACAGAGGCTTCATGACTAACTACATATCAAAAAATTTTTTTGAAAAATTCATTTAGCAGAAAAGTAAATGAACTGCATGTTCAAATCTGATGTCCCACCATTCATTAAAAATCCATTGTATTTTCTGCTGGTGAAGTTTTGCCCAACTGTAACAGTACTGAATCTTAAAATGATGATAAATTTGATTTTATCACTTACTTTATAACAATGCCTCGAATATATGTTACCTTAAAAGGATAAAGTGATCTTCAAACACCAAATTGTTTGTCATTTCTCAGGAGGGCAGGGTGGAGTTTCCTGTTTCAAAACGGACGCTGGCTATATGGGTGGTGCAGTTATGTATTGAGATTTAGTGCGTATTTATCAGAAGAAATTGGTTTTCATTCATCAGCTGTTAATTTACTCGCACTCCTGGTGTCATGTGTTACCAGTGAGCCTTAGGAAGGCCCTGTGTTCGATCTAGTCTGTGTAAGTCTGTATCTTTCAGCTTGCTGAAATTCCGAGGTATAGAACAGGAAAAATGACCAGTTTAGAGAGAAGTGTGGGGTTTTTTGTTCCTAGATTTATCATACCAATATTTGTCATCACTGGCCTTGTTATTTTTTAAATTAATCTCTCATCTGTGAGAGATGGAAAAGAAAGAGGAATATGCTGGCCCACCTTAGGGTCGATGTCCATATTATTTTCTCAGACCATAAGAAAACTGTATATTCTGCAGGAAAGCTTATTTCTGCAGAACTCTAAAAATAAAATGAACCATGCTTCGTGCAGGGTGACAGCCTTGTCTGAAGCAAGTGTAGGGCAAGCAGATTGTGGGCACACTCTGTTGCATCCTGACCTATGCTATCCTTGCCATTCTTGTCAGTGGTCCTGTGCATTGCTTGTGTGATGTCAATAAACAGGAGAGGACAGTCTCTTAAACAAGGATTTCATAAATCTGGCATAGAAAGAGGGCTTTTCCACAGTGCTTGTAAGCAATGAAGTGCTTCAGTATTTTTCTGGTCATGTAGCTCTGGTGTGCAAGTTCAAAAAACGTTCTGGTACTGTGGTGAAAGCAGCAAATGTTTGGAATTTACTGCCATGCAGGCTGACTGTTTATTTTAATAGCTGGCTTGGTTTTGCCAAGGTTGTTGTAGGGGGGAGTCCAAATTAAAGCCCTAATTCATGAGAACATCAATGATTAGAACAATAAAGCAGGTTCCTGAACAGAATATGCAGAACAGCAGTTCTAACTGGGTTGAGGGTCAGTAGATACTGGCACTTCTAAAAGGGCAGGGCCTGTTGCGACAGGACAAGGGGGAACGGCTTTGAACTAAAGGGGGGGAGATTTAGACTAGAGATAAGGAAGAAATTTTTTAGGCTGAGGGTGGTGAAGCACTGGCCCAGGTTGCCCAGAGAGGTGGTGGATGCCCCGTCCCTGGAAACATTCCAGGTCAGGTTGGACGGGGCTCTGAGCAACCTGCTCTAGTTGAAGATGTCCCTGCCCACGGCAGGGGGGTTGGACTAGATGGCCTTTAGAGGTCTCTTCCAACCCAAGCTATTCTGTGATTCTATGATTCTAAAAGCAGGTTGTCACCAGAGGACCTTGTCTGTTGCTTCCGGATTTTAACCTCTGTTTTAATATACACCAAAACGCTCATCTGGGTTTCTGTTTTTCACTGCTGAACTTGAAGAAAAAAACACATATGTTTTTTCATAGCCGTCGTAGATAATTGTGTAGGCAGGGAGGGGAAAGCCCTTTCCTACTACTGCTCTGAAACAAGAAATAGTTTTGAAAGAAAGATGACTTTCATATGTCACCTCTTCAAGCTCCCGCTTGTCAGTCCTTGCTCAACAGCCTTTGCTACTTCTTTGACATCTCCTCCTCTCTTGATAGTTATTTTTCCCATTTAGGTGTGCAAAAATAGCTGATTACAATGCTCAGAACTCCTCGTGGCCTCCTAAATGAATGTAGGGAGTGGGTGAACAGTGTCGTTCACGACTGCACGAATCTCAGTCCTTTCTATTTACAGACCCATCTCAGTGCAGGTAATTGTGCTGAGCGCAACCAGGTTGTGGTGCTGACATTTGCTGGCTTTCTGAGAGTTAGCAATATCCATGTGCACTACTGGAAATGACTTCTCTCCTTTCTCTTT